TCCCCCGTCCCCACTCCCCCTTCTCTATTTTTAGGCATTTGTTCTGGTTTCCCTGACAGTACTCCAGTACTCATTTATGTTCCCAGTGGGAGAGAGTAGAAGTACCTTGAGTGTTTAGGTTCTTTACCAAGAACACAAGAGCCTTAAAACGCCTTGAAAAGTAAAAATCTATGAACACTTCGTAGCAGCTGAGACAGAAGTTAAGATATCCCTGGACTTTCTTCATTTCTTGTTAGCTCCTGGTCCGTCAGATTGGTATAAAAAATGGAGGCAATGTGGTGGTAATCGGCAATCTCCGATCAACATCGACACGAGTCGGGTGAGGCACAGACATTTCCGAACTCTGAAAATAGAATTCGACAGACTGGGCGGCCTGGTCAGTGGGGAGTTAAAAAACAATGGAAACGCTCCCACTTTTTTCGTAGACAAGGACAAGGGAACAGCGAGACTGAAAGGAAGTCGTCTTTCAGACAGATACGTGCTTACTAATTTCCACGTGCATTTCGGATGTGAAAACGACCGGGGATCAGAGCACACTCGTAATGGCCACCGTTTTGCTGCCGAGGTAATATGATGCAACTCTTGATTTCTTTCCAAGAAGATTTTTTTTTTTTTTTTAATTTTTGGTTTAAGGTTTTTCTTTCGGCTTCGAGGTATCCCTCCATCAGATCACACAAATCAACTGTTCCCTTACTTGAAAGAAGAGAGGACTGGGGGAATAAAAAAAAAAAAGGGAGATCACATATGCATTGAGGTTGAAGGACGAGTGATTAACTTCTTTTGTTTTGAATACCCTAATCCTCGGAGCCATGTTAGAATTTCGATACATCGAAAATGGCCTTTTAAAAGTAACATTTTCCTCGCATTTTTTTCCAGTTCCAATAATACTCAATTTAGACCCATACTTTGAACTAATCAATACTAAGGAAAAATCAACTCCTCAACTTTGACTTTCCTTTCAGATTCATTTTGTGTTTGAGGTTTCAAGAGGACGGTTTGCAGTCGTAGCTGTATGGCTCAGGGTAAATACTGATAATTATTATTCTTGTTTACCCTAGTGTTTAATGGTTTGAATTAGCGTTAGTGCCATGCGTTAGGTTTCATTTCCTCCTCTTTTCTTTTTGCATTGATGACCCTTTTGTCCGAAAATAAACGGGGACTACGTTCTAAGACTGATTTATATGCTCATAAAGTAATGTATCGTCTGAGAATAGCAGAAAAGCATGAGTTGGAATTATGTGTCTCATATTGTTCGTTTTCTTGGATGATGTTCTTGTCAGGCTTCTAAAAATGAAAACACTATTCTGGGAAGGTTGGCAAATCAGATGCACAAGATTATTGATGTTGGTAAGTTAGCTAAGCTGTGTAATGTAGTAAGCATATTGCTAACTCCCGTGAGTGACAAGGAAGGAATTTCTCATTAAAATATCAGGACAATATCAAGCTGACCGAGCGTTGAGAACAAAGAAAATATCCGTAAGGGATCATTGATTGATCCAATACTAAACTCACCGAGGTTAAATCATGTTCGAATTGTATGGCAGACAGCAAGGAGAATTGCTAATGAGATCTTGTGGTATATCTGGCGTATATCAGCAGCTCTGCAAGTTTTTCTTCTCTTCGCTTTCATCATAAGCGACATTTTTAGAACTTCTCAACATCCAATGATGAAATACTCTGAAAAAATGCAAAGATACGTTTTGAGTGAGAATGACAATGTAGATTTTTTCACAAACCTCTTGTATGGTTGCTCTTCTTTGCATCGGTGTAATCACCACCTCTTTTGGTGTCGTGCTTTTGGTGTCAAAGAAATGGTGACCGCTCCAAGTGTTAGAAAAAATTCCCAAATATCAAAAATTCAAATAATTTTACAGACGAGTCTGCGAAGATAAGGAGGGCGATCGGAATTCGCTTGATGCGCCTTATACCACACAAAAGTCGGAAGCACAAGACATTGGTACTGTCAAATTATTTCCTTCATGTATTTCGATTTTAAAGGTGATCACTCAATTGGAGTTTTCCCATAGATAGTGGATCGTATAAACAAAAATTTGAGGAATTTTTTCAATCAGTCAGAAAGGCTCGATCCGTAAAAGTGAACCTTTGTTTTCAAATTTGCTGATATTCTGTGGATGGCCTGAAGTAAAGACAAGCACTAACCTAAAGTAATGTTTTACGAAAAATATTTGCACAATTATTGTATACTTTAATTTTCTTTGAAGGAATGTTGCTGTTATTGTTGTTGCTATCAGCTTTTGGTGTGGCAGTGGGCAACCAATGCGAAGAACGTGAGTACCAGGATATTTTAAGACCAAACTTTTAGAATTTGCTTTACATTAAAGTGATAATACAAACTCTGAAATTCAATAGCGCGGGTTATGTTTGCCAAAGACATATTTTTAGCCCCTCTTGTACGTCAATTCGTGGCTGTGGCAAAAAAGAAGGAAAGAATAAAGAAAAAAGAAAATCCAAGGCGAAAACCGCTGAAAAAATATCTGGCAGATGCTACAGATGTCGATACATTGTGCCTCTTCATTTCTTACTTCCTTTTGCCCCTCCAGAATAAATGAAGCGTAACTTCTTCTAACTTCTTTTCGCTTCTTATTTCTTACAGTGCAAGATGGTGAATTTTTCAGCTACGGAGAAACTACTTCAGAAGGTATTCCTTTTTCTGGCATAGATTTTGGCATGGATTTTGAAGCAGTTAAGAATATACCTGAGGAAATTTAACATTATACATACTTCCCTATTGGGGGTTACCCGTCACCCCCTCCCCCGTCCCCACTCCCCCTTCTCTATTTTTAGGCATTTGTTCTGGTTTCCCTGACAGTACTCCAGTACTCATTTATGTTCCCAGTGGGAGAGAGTAGAAGTACCTTGAGTGTTTAGGTTCTTTACCAAGAACACAAGAGCCTTAAAACGCCTTGAAAAGTAAAAATCTATGAACACTTCGTAGCAGCTGAGACAGAAGTTAAGATATCCCTGGACTTTCTTCATTTCTTGTTAGCTCCTGGTCCGTCAGATTGGTATAAAAAATGGAGGCAATGTGGTGGTAATCGGCAATCTCCGATCAACATCGACACGAGTCGGGTGAGGCACAGACATTTCCGAACTCTGAAAATAGAATTCGACAGACTGGGCGGCCTGGTCAGTGGGGAGTTAAAAAACAATGGAAACGCTCCCACTTTTTTCGTAGACAAGGACAAGGGAACAGCGAGACTGAAAGGAAGTCGTCTTTCAGACAGATACGTGCTTACTAATTTCCACGTGCATTTCGGATGTGAAAACGACCGGGGATCAGAGCACACTCGTAATGGCCACCGTTTTGCTGCCGAGGTAATATGATGCAACTCTTGATTTCTTTCCAAGAAGATTTTTTTTTTTTTTTTAATTTTTGGTTTAAGGTTTTTCTTTCGGCTTCGAGGTATCCCTCCATCAGATCACACAAATCAACTGTTCCCTTACTTGAAAGAAGAGAGGACTGGGGGAATAAAAAAAAAAAAGGGAGATCACATATGCATTGAGGTTGAAGGACGAGTGATTAACTTCTTTTGTTTTGAATACCCTAATCCTCGGAGCCATGTTAGAATTTCGATACATCGAAAATGGCCTTTTAAAAGTAACATTTTCCTCGCATTTTTTTCCAGTTCCAATAATACTCAATTTAGACCCATACTTTGAACTAATCAATACTAAGGAAAAATCAACTCCTCAACTTTGACTTTCCTTTCAGATTCATTTTGTGTTTGAGGGTTCAAGAGGACGGTTTGCAGTCGTAGCTGTATGGCTCAGGGTAAATACTGAGAATTATTATTCTTGTTTACCCTAGTGTTTAATGGTTTGAATTAGCGTTAGTGCCATGCGTTAGGTTTCATTTCCTCCTCTTTTCTTTTTGCATTGATGACCCTTTTGTCCGAAAATAAACGGGGACTACGTTCTAAGACTGATTTATATTCTCATAAAGTAATGTATCGTCTGAGAATAGCCGTAAAGCATGAGTTGGAATTATGTGTCTCATATTGTTCGTTTTCTTGGATGATGTTGTTGTCAGGCTTCTAAAAATGAAAACACTATTCTGGGAAGGTTGGCAAATCAGATGCACAAGATTATTGATGTTGGTANCCCTCCCCGCGGGATGCCTGTTGTTATCCACGAATTAGAACAAACCCAAGTTAATACATAAGGAATCAAACCTCAAACCTTTGGAATCATATTTTTTTCTTCATCCAGTGCTTATCACAAGACAAAAAAAATAACATTTCTCTATTCCATTACCGAACCCAAAACTTACCATCTTTCTTGTTTTAGCAACTTGTTAGTTTTGCAATTAACCGGTTGATAGAAGGATAGACATAGCCAATCCATTCTAGCTGAAAGCAGCATCTCTGGGTTAATTACTGGTCCAAATGGATATTACGAAGGAGTTGACGATTCACTGTCTTGGTTTGTTTCGTTTTTAGCTGTCGCAGTTCAGAGTGTTAGAGGGTCGTTTTCCCAAGGACCCCCCGCACATGTGTGACAACTTCAGACCACTTCAGCCGCTCAATCGCCGCTATGTATTTTCTGTTACTAATTAATCGGTTGCTGAGCGACAAAACAAACTAATAAAGTCAACAAGAAATGAAAAATTGCGTCAATTTTGATTACATTTTACTTGCATTTTACTTGCATTTTACTTGCATTTTACTGGAGCCTTTTCTTAAGCTGGAGATGAAGAGAAAGTTCCCTCTACTCAGCCCTCGTCAACAACTAATATATTTCGTCAATTATTTCATGAAAGTCCCGATAAAAGTGAGAACAATTTCGGCTTAACGTTCAATCCAAGTTTTTCTTATGATTCTGATCGACCACATCTCTTTATCGATGCAGTAACATCGTGATAAGCGGTATGGGTGATTAGCTTTCCGTTGTAGAAAAAAAAAACCGTGCTGGCGCCTTCTGTGACTAGAATAAATCTATTTGTTTTAGAATATATATTTTTGCGCTGGGATATGTATTTCTCACACACCCCTGGGAGCCATGTCAAGCCAACCACCGCAACGCCTTACACATCACATGACCTTAACCCATCCTCAGGCCCCAGCGGTGTGTGAGAAAAACATTTTCCACTTATTTCGTTCACTCAGCCAGTGGAAAATCACCCTTTTCCATAAATAATTTGGATATAACTTTGACAGCAATTTGGAATGAATGTGTACGAATAAATGTTCTCAAAGACTAACAAAATCGCATAAGTCCGTAGCGTGAACGCTTTATGTGAACTTTTATTTATCCCATGGCATTATGTATTGATGTTATTCATTCAAAAGTATCGAGACAGGTGACGCAGAGACATCAGGCGTGAACTACGTGCCTAAACTACGTGCCTATACTACGTGCCTATACTACGTGCCTATACTACGTGCCTATACTACGTGCCTATACTACGTGCCTAAACTACGTGCCTAAACTACGTGCCTAAACTACGTGCCTAAACTACTTACCTAACTTGTTTAAAATATGTTAAACTTCGACAAAAAATGTTTAACTTCTTCAAAAACCATCAGGCTTCAGAGGAAAAAAACAGCTCTCTTGTACTTTTAAGTCTGAGCAATTCAAAAAGTGTTATTCAGTGTCTGAGTCACTTATATTGTTTGAATTCCTCAGCAGGTTTGTAACTTTCGATTTCGTCGGCAATTTCTTTCTCAAGACAGCACTTTTTTTCCCAAAAAGACAAACAGAAAGAAGCGCTTTTTGACCATTGTTTTCGCTCATACTTTGATTGAGTCTTAAAGCCTGTCAGGTCTTTCAAAGGTGTGTTTGAATACCTCTCGGGGTGCTTTTGTGAATCCACCAATCTGAAGTACCTTGAGGTACCGTCATTCATATCAAAAACGTTGCTATCATTAACATAATCATTTAACCAGACTCAAGAGGAGACGTACTGCGTCCAAGAATCATGAAAGTGATGCCAAGTGTGGGCGTAATATATTATGTTTACGTCAATAGATATTGATGCCTGTTTGGAAATGTGATATCGACATTTGCGAACTACAGGATTTCATTGATATTATCATCATTACTATGGCGGTATAAAAGTTCTGAATGCCCACATCCTAAGCTCTAAAAATACGCTGAAACCTAAATTGTTAAAAAAAATGTAGACCTCCTAAGATTCTTGCTTATGAAAATGGGAAAAGTTCCTAATGACTGGACCACAAAACATTATCCTTATACAGTGTGTTAATATGAATCTATATTATGAAACTACTGTTACGCTTAAAGTCTTCACCGAACGAGCGATTTGAAGTGGACTGGTTAGGATGGACTTTTTGCATCTGGAAAGCTAATGATCTACCAGAGTCTCCCACAGTATGTTTAATATTATTTTTTTTTTATTACTATTATAATTACTATCATTGTTATAGTTAGTTAATTATCTTCCTTTTATTTCTGAAAACAACGTTATGTTTTCGCCCAAGAACATAACTTTGTTAATACTGCTCTAGAAAGAAGCCAATTCGATTGGGAGTACAGAATTCTGATCAGCGGGGTTAACGGTGCTTTGTGGTTGAAATCCATCATGACTTCCCTAGCGTCAAAAAATAAACTGATTAAATTGCTATGAAGCAAGTTGACGTTTTCAGGTACTAGCCAACTGAATGAGTGAAATTGACGGCCTCTGTTACTGATGAGGTTTTAGTAAAATAACCCTTTCAAGACTTAAAGTCGTAGCCTATTCATAAATACATTAATAGAGTCACCGCTAGCGCGCTCAATGAAAAGGGAAAAGAATATTCGATGAACTTGCGCTAGACTACGTGAAGTGTATCATTGCTTTACGGTGTCCTTTATCATCATCTTTGATCAAAACGCACTTACTAAACACAGTATTTCAAGAGTCTTTATTTTAATAAAAGATTTCTGCCGGCTGCCAGACAATATCCGGTTTTTTTTTACTCTAAAAATATCAAACAATACCCGGACAATACAGAATATATAAAATGTAGAATCTCACGGTATCTGTTTCGTTCTTAAAATATACAAGCATATATGTACTTTCTTTTGACTCTCAAGGCGCATGATAGAGACTATTAAGTATTTAAGACCACAGTAATAGACTGAACTAGAGATAGATCCATTCATCTAAACTTTAGCATTTTGTCGGCCATTTGGTAATTTTGTAACCCGTATAGTTCCTTGATTTCTTTCGGACATCTTCACTCAGAAGCTAATACAGTTTATGTAATCAAGGCCGGCAATTTGATATCCTTAAATAATACTGATACCACTAAATATCTGTTTCATGACGTATTCATTACCTATCTATTTTTCCGTTTAAACGATATTGATCTCATTAATTTTCTGTGTAAGTTCTGTAACCAAGGCCATCAATTCATAATCAGTATCAAGGAACAAAAATAATAGACTGACTCTGTTAAATATCAGATTTATGAGGTAAATCGTGGCTTATTTTGATACTCTCGAGGATGATCATCAAATAACATTAGATGCTAGAATAATACTTCTAATCTTAGTGAAGTAGTTTTCGCCTATTTTGATACTCTCGGATAAGTATATAAACATCCCTGATCCCTAAAATTCATCGAGTTACTTCTGGTACAGAGACAAAGCTTAGCTACTAGGTGGAGCCCAAAATCGACCTCGGTAAGTCATTAGCGATTAAACAACAAGTAACTGACTATTTGGCATCGTTATTGGTTGATATGTTTTACTTTTTGGTAATGCAGCAATTAAGATATTAAGATGTTTTATGTCTTGTTAAGTAATCCGCCAAAACCCAGTAGTTAAGTCTATTACAATTTTTTTTTTCGCAAGCACATTGAAACTATGAGTACTCTAGATTTCTTGTAGCGGCCGACCCAAGCGAAGCAAAATTTCGACGACAACTATGAGTTTCACAAATGAAGACACTATGAAGCGCGGATATATTTTACAGACAAGCCTTGAATCGTTTTATTTAACGTAGTCGTGGTATCCAAGTACTTATCGTAAACTGAAATATGAAGTTATAAGGAAGAAGCTAAGCTAAATGCGAATAGACAAACCAACATTCCAAACATTCCGATATAAAAGCAAGATGCAAAGCTAGCTAAAAACTCAAACAAACTCACAGAAGAACTATATATCAGCTCAAGGAAAGGAACATTAGCACTTATATAACAGTCCCGCTTGTAAGAATTGAACCAAAACAAACTTCAATATAAGTTAGGTATTCGGAAGCGAAACGGGAATTCCAAACAGACACTTACTCTAACACAGAAAACTGTCTTACGGCAAACGACAACAACCAAACGATAAACTAAAACAAACTTGAACTACTCTTCTCTAAAAATTGCACACGTCTAGATTAAAAAGGGTCCGCGTGATTTGCTTACGAGATTACTTCGTAATCTCAAAGCACGCGCACGCGAGTCGCGCGCGCACAAGTTTGTTAACGTCTTCTTAAGGAGGCTCGAAAGGGTTTTTTTGACCGCGGGGAGAATGGATTCCAAGATACACGCAAGCTTAGTACTCGCGAGAGAAATAAGCGATGGCGCGCGCGATCAGATCCGCGGCCTAGTTGATTTGTCTATGAAAGTCAACAAGAAATGAAAAATTGCGTCAATTTTGATTACATTTTACTTGCATTTTACTTGCATTTTACTTGAGCCTTTTCTTAAGCTGGAGATGAAGAGAAAGTTCCCTCTACTCAGCCCTCGTCAACAACTAATATATTTCGTCAATCATTCCATGAAAGTCCCGATAAAAGTGAGAACAATTTCGGCTTAACGTTCAATCCAAGTTTTCCTTATGAATCTGATCGACCACATCCCTTCATCGATGCAGTAACATCGTGATATGCGGTATGGGTGATTAGGTTTCCGTTGTAGAAAAAAAAAAACCGTGCTCTCGCCTTCTGTGACCAGAATAAATCTATTTGTATTGGAATATATATTTTTGCGCTGGGATATGTATTTTTCCATAAATAGTTTGTATATAACTTTGACAGCAATTTGGAATGAATGTGTACGAGTAAATGTTCTCAAAGACTAACAAATTCGCGTAAGTCCATAGGGTGAACGCTTTATGTGAACTTTTATTCATCCCATGTTATTATGTATTGATGTTATTCATTCAAAAGTATGGAGACAGGTGACGCAGAGACAACAGGCGTAAACTACGTGCCCAAACTATGTGCCTAAACTACTTGCCTATTAAACTACGTGCCTAAACTACTTGCCTAACCTGTTTAAAATATGATTAACCTTTACAAAAAATATCTTTAACTTCTAAAAATACCATCACGCTTCAGAGGAAAAAGCAGCTTTCTTGTACTTTTAAGTCTGAACAACTCAAAAAGTGTTTATTCAGTGTCTGAGTCACTTACTTTGTTTGAATTCCTCAGCAGTTTTGTAACTTTCGATTTCATCGGCAATTTCTTTCTCAAGACAGATCTTTTTTTCCAGAAAGACAAACACAAAGAGCTTTTTGACCATTGTTTTCGCTCATACTTTGATTGAGTCTTAACTTAATGCCTGTCAGGTCTTTCAAAGGTGTGTTTGAACACCTCTCGGGATGCTTTTGTGTATCAACCAATCTGAAGTACCTTGAGGTACCGTCATTCATATAAAAAACGTTACTATCATTAACATAATCATTTCACCACACTCAAGAGGAGACGTACTGCGTCCAAGAATCATGAAAGTGGTGCCAAGTGTGGGCGTAATATATTATGTTTACGTCAATAGATATTGATGCCTGTTGGGAAATGTGATATCGATATTTGCGAACTAAAGGATTTCATTGATATTATCATCATTACTATGGCGGTATAAAACTTCTGGATGCCCACATCCTATGCTCTAAAAGTATGCTGAAACCTAAATTGTTAAAAAAATGTAGACCTCCTAAGATTCTTGCTTATGAAAATGGGAAAAGTTCCTAATGACCGGACCACAAAAACATTATCCTTATCAAGTGTGTTAATATGAATCTATATTATGAAACTACTGTTACGCTTAAAGTCTTCACCGAAAGAGCGATTTGAAGTGGACTGGTTAGGATGGACTTTTTGCATCTGGAAAGCTAATGATCTACCAGAGTCTCCCACAGTATGTTTAATATTATTATTATTTTTATTACTATTATTATTATTACTATCATTGTTATAGTTAGTTAATTATTTTCCTTTTATTTCTGAAAGCAACGTTGTGTTTTCGCCCAAGAACATAACTTTGTCAATACTACTCTAGAAAGAAGCCAATTCGATTGGGAGTACAGAATGCTGAACAGCGGGATTAAGGGTGCTTTGTGGTTGAAATCCATCATGCCTTCCCTAGCGTCAAAAAATAAACTGATTAAACTGCTATGAAGCAAGTTGACGTTTCCAGGTACTAGCCAACTGAATGAGTGAAATTGACGGCCTCTGTTACTGATGAGGTTTTAGTAAAATAACCCTTTCAAGACTTAAAGTCGTAGCCTATTCATAAATACATGAATAGAGTCACCGCTAACGCGCTCAATGAAAAGGGAAAAGAATATTCGATGAACTTGCGCTAGACTACGGAAAGTGTATCATTGCTTTACGCTGTCCTTTATCATCATCTTTGATCAAAACGCACTTTCTAAACACAGTATTTCAAGAGTCTTTATTTTAAAATAATATTTCTGCCGGCTGCCAGACAATATCTGTTTTTTTTTTCCTTTTTTACTCTAAAAATATCAAACAATACCCGGACATTACAGAATACATAAAATGTAGAATCTCACTGTATCTGTTTCGTTCTTAAAAATATAGAAGCATATATGTACTTTCTTTTGACTCTCAAGGCGCATGATAGAGACAATTAAGTATTTAAGACCACAGTAATAGACTGAACTAGAGATAGATCCATTCATCTAAACTTTAGCATTTTGTCAGCCATTTTGTAATTTTCTAACCCGTAATAGTTCTTCGTTTTCTTTCGGATATCTTCACTCAGAAGCTAATAGAGTTTATGTAATCAAGGCCGGCAATTTGATATCCTTAAATAATTAGCAAGAAATTATAACCTATTTTTATTTAGTCAGAATAAATATCAGACTGGTGTTACAGAATAAACGCATTATGACGCAAAGAAAGTTTATTTTGGCTCTCCAAGATAAGAACAAATATTAGTGTTGTTGTCTCTTATCGAAATTTTCTATAAATTTTCAATAAATCACCATGACTAGATTTCGTCCTTTTTAAATATCTTAACCTCAAGGTTTGCCATTTTTTGGTATGGTAGACAGTGAAAAGGAATATAAAGCAAAGAAAAATTAAAGTGAACCTCGCACTAAATATCACCAGAACATCGATTATTATGTTACTGGAAATAATAAATAAATGATAAGACTGACGTTTTCAATATCAGTCTTATGAGGTAATCATTGATGCTCACAATAATTAGTATAAAAAACATTCAATATAAGACTGATACCACTCAGCTAAATTCCCTGGCCTTCCACTGTCTGTTCCTACAAAATTTACACTGAGATCACGTTCTTTATCTGTAGACTGAGTACATCCCAGGGGACCAGAAATAGCCCATCCCAAATGAGTTTCTATCGTTACGGGTTCACCTACCCTCCCCGGACAACATTGCCTGTTTGAAAGTGCCATAAATAATCCGCTCCGATTAGGACATCTATATCTAACTGATCTTCGTTTCGGCAAAATTCAGAAAGCCATATGTCTGCCAAATGGGAATAACTGTTACGCACGATGTCCAGGCGCTCGTTCGGGACTCTCGAAATTTCGGGAACAACAAAGGCCTCTATATGTATTACACCTCCTCTCCCCACTGGGGTCAATGGTATCTCAACCACCTCCCTGAGGTTAGAACTTGTTGCTCGCTGTCCAAAGGTGTTGACAGCGAGCCACTCCCTTCGGACAATTTCTAGGCCACACGTCTCAGCTACGCGTGATGTAACAAACGAAGTATGGCTGGCCGTATCAAAAAGCACTCTTATTCGCGATCTACACTTCCCTGCGACTTGGGCTTGTGCCGTTTGTAGAGCAACACTGTTTCCCGTTTCGATGTGCATGCTGTTACCCACCGCCGAGTCTGAATTGCTAGGACTGCCTTCGCTTTCTGGCGCTTTCCCCTCCCCGGCGGGTCCGTTACAACGGAGACATGAATCATGTTTTCCCTTACAGTACTTACAAATTATAGTGGTCTTACATTCTCTAGAAACATGTCCTCTCCTAATGCAATTAAAGCATCTACCATACCTAAGTAACATTTGCTTACGTTCCTTGACATTCTTGACTTTCTGACAGTCCTCGTGCTTGTGTCCCTCCAAACAAAAGGCACAGTTCATTTGCTTTTCTGTGTGCATTGTGGTTCTTTTCCTCAGCTCATCTCGAGGACCTTTCGCGGGTCGCGTGTTTTTGTTGTACTCTTCGCGCAGCTCGATCTCGTGTCCTAGCGTTTCTAATAATTGTTGCAGGTTCTATTCATGATGATCCTCTCCTCTTGTAATCGTCAGGCGCAGCTGTTCTGGTAGTTTCTCCAGCAGTGAGGGTATCACGATGGCAGAGTAACTATCTTGGCCCACGCCAAGTGCTTCAAGGGCTCGATGCTTAGTCTCAGCAAAATCGTACATCATACGTAGTCGGTTTGTGTCTCTTTCGCTGTAAATGGGTTCCATGTTCAGCAAATCGTTTACGTACGCTCTCTGGATGGCTGTCTTTTTCCAATAGCGTTTCTTCAGAAGGTCCGTCGCTGCTTTGTAATTTGCCGAAGTGAGGAAAAATCCTGCTATCGCTGACCGCGCCGGTTCAACGAGAAGGCCTCGCAGATAAGAAAATTTGTCGACTTCGGCCAGTGTCGCATTCTTGTCAATGGCACTCTCAAAGGAGTCCCAGAACTCCTGCCATTCGCTGATGTTGCCTCCAAACTTTCGAACTTCGAGTTTCGGCAGTTTTGCTCGCACTGGGGCGGTCTGGTGGCTCTGTTGAGCCGGTGAGTTTTCTTGTATTCTGAGACTGCTCGGACTGGGCGGTAACACTGGTGCGTGATGCGTATCGGCCAAACGGTCTTCAATGGCAGACAGTCTCATTTTCACATCAAACTTTACCTTGTTAGTTTCGAGCAACTCTGCGGACATATCTTCTTCGGTGATGTCGTCATCAGTCTCCATCAACTCCAAAATTCGTTTCTTCAACTTCGTCAGCTTTTCTTGTTGTTCTTGGAGGATATCCTTCCACTGAACAATGTCATTTTTTCTTTCCTCAGTGTACCCTTCAAGGCATCCGTCTAAGTCGTTGAAAACCTACGTCAGGTAACTTTTGTGGCCCGCTCTCGACTTTCTCTTGTTCTTCAATTCTCTTTTCGGTTCCCTCATCTTCTGTCAGTATCCGGCTCGAAGGACCAGGTTTCGCAGAATTTCTCACTTACTTTAGAAGGAAGCTCTGCACACGCTGGTTCTGCAGACTTGGACTGTATACTTTCGGTTAACTTGACTTTATTCTTCACAATCCAACATTACACGTTCTGTTCTAGGACCTATGTCAATCCCATCTTTCAGTTACAAAAATGCTACGTTTTATAAGCTACGGATATAACGGCACACCCAGATACGTAAGTCCGCAGTGGTAAGGTAATTTAAGCTAACTTGACAAAGTTCCAATTTTGTTTTACACATCCCGTTACATCGACTTGTTTGACAATCATAGTGTTAATCTACGCATGCGGTTTTACTAGCGAATATTTGATTAAATACATCTTTATTTTGAAGGCTCGATTACACGACGCCGGTCAATACTTCCTTTGACATTTCACAAATCAATGTTGGCGACAAGAAATAATAACTTACTTAATCAACTACTCAATATACCGAAACAGGAAAACTTTATTATGAGCACGTGCAAACTTTTCGCGACAAATGTTTCTATGAGAATGTTTCGACAAAAACGTTCACATGGTCTCAAATAATGAAAATGTTCACTCTTCTAACTCTTTCTTTCCCTCTACTTCTTTCTTCTTCTCCACACAATTGCTTCCTTTCGTCTGCTTGACTCTCTTCAATTTATCTTCCAATCTTTTCTCTATAATGTACTTAAGCAAGTTTCTGACTGCCGTCATTGCCACTCCCTTCAAATCAACATACATCCTATCCCTGGCAAGTTCAGCGTCTGGTCGATTTTCTTCGTGGTCTTCTATTGAGTACAATATTACATCCACATCGATGTCTTCTTCTTTCTTCAAAATATCAACCACTGTCTCTAGGAGAAGGTAAATTTGTTCTGGTACGAAGGCAACTCTTTTCGTGTTGTGAGACATCTTTTCTGCCTTTTGGGTAGCAATTAGATACAGGCAGAAAGAGGGCACCCCTCGGTTTAACATCCTCTAATATATCGCTATTCAACCTATCACAGCCAGATTCTTGGGACACGTAAACATCATGCGATACTCCTGACACACATCCAGAACGTGATACTCCTTTGTCGTAGTTATATTGCTTTACCAGTCTTTGATATAGCGATGCGACTCTGCTGTTTTTTTAAACCATTCTGGGGAATATTTGACACATGTCAAAGTCACCATTTCACTCATTACATCTGAATGACTTAACATGGGATTACGAAAAGACGCAAACACTTCTGTCACATCGTCCACGAAAAACTTATTCCACTTTAAACGCTCTCCCAACTTTTCAAACGCTTCCCAATGTTTAAACATGTAAAGCTGCACGTGTCCTCCTAATGGGTTTGGCCATTCGTTCACCTCTTTGACCGTCTCGTCAAATAATTTATCGCAGGCATTCACGAATCTATACTTGGAGGCGGAGTCGTTCATCTCGAGTACTGGTAATTTCTTCTCGAATACGGCTTTTAAATACCGTAGAAAATAATACACCTCCATGTATTGACGCGATGTAGAAATGATTTCGTGGCGTTTCTTTAGACAGATGGAAACGTTGGCAAAACCCAATATGTAACGTATGACTTCTCGGGGCCCACACACCTTTTTAGGCGCATACAAATCGAATAGATATTTGTTCTGGTACAGTAATTCACAATCGTTGAAAATTCTCACGTCGCTCATGATGCGTTTGCTTTACCGTCCTCGCTACGAATGATGAGAAATTGTCTATTTCTCAAGTTTTTGAGGGTATATCCATCGGCCGTTCGTTGACTAACCGCCGTAAAGGGAATTGACATCTCTGACAATAACACCAATAATAAGGAGTATAATACCAACAAGATGTGCATTGATACCATACTTCTGCCGGTTTATAAGCGATTCCTTTACTCCAACTGACTTGTTTAGGCATCATTCAATTTTAAGTGAAGCAATCTTTTCTGTAATTTCCTGTATCCAGTTTAGCATATATACTTTTCTCAATTCTCTTATCTGTACTCTGTGCCACGCTTCTTTCTCTATCTCGTCAAACAATATATCGCATTGGCCGCATTCGCATGTCAAGTCTTCAACGGAAGGCGTCGCTAAAATGAAGCAAGTGAGTACAAAACGAAAGATTTATATACGCTATGTTTTTATGACAGCTTGTCAGTCAGAGGGAAATATTTTATGTATAACCTAAACTTACATTTCTACATTCATTTCAATCAGCATGTCATATGAAAAACAACTGGACCTAGCACATTTGGGCGAAGAGATTGAACAGAATCCCCAGTGGACCGGAACAATCCTAGACGAGTTATTTGCCATTGTCAAAGAAAAAGCTACCACGCGAGATCTTTGTGAAATACGCAGACAAGTGACAAGATACATTGACGAGATTGAAACCTATGATGCAAAAGTGGGAGAGCATTCTACTTTCCATCAATTGTACAGAGACACGATGACAGCTTTCCTAGCTTATGTTACTTATTTACATCTCAAATATCGTGCAGAGTAAACAAATAAACCAAATGTTGTACTTAATCCCTCCGCCATCTTGGATTCTTTTGTGTTTGAAACACCGTTATGATGTTTTTATTTACCCTACTCACGAAATTTAACCCTAAAAACCCTCGTACACCTACACGAATTTTAACCCTAACCCTAATAACCCCTCGTACACCAACGCCATATGAATAACCCCTAATAACCACCTCGTACACCTACGCAACATGAATAAATTAACCTCGGCCGAGACACTCGGACCCAGGCCGTGCGGGAATCACCAGTAAGGCGACCTGCACTACTTAGCTGTATGACTCAGGGTAAATATTTCTTATTCACCCTAGTGTTTAATTGTTTGAAGCTGTGTCAGTGCCTGCGTGTTAGGGTTCGTTTCTTCCTCTTTTCTTTTTACATTGATGACCCTTTTGTCCGAAAATAAAAGGGGACTACGTCCTAAAACTGATTTATTGCTCATAAATTAATATATCGTCTGAGATGCGCTATAAAGCATGGTTGGAATTCAGTATGAGTCTCGTATTGTTCGTTTTCCTGCATGATGTTGTTGTTGTCAGGCCTCCAAAAATTAAAACACTGGGAGGGTTGGCAAATCAGATGCACAAGATTATCGATGTTTGTACGTTAGCTAAACTGGGTAATGTAATAAGCGTATTGCAAAACGCAGAAACCTACTAACTCCCAGTGAGTGATAGGAAGGAATTTCTCATTACAGTCAAACTAAATGAAGCGTACGCCTCAAGATTACATTAATGAATTGATCATTTGGATGTTGAACCCGCCAGTCGTTTAAGAATGTAATAATGAATTGATTATTTGATTATTGAACCCGCTAGCCGTTTCACGAATGCAATAATGGATTGATTATTAGGATATTGAACCCGATAGCCGCATTCGCTTTGAAAAGGCGCGGATCATTGTTCAAATTAGAAGTCCATTTCTGGAGTCCAATAAGATTGTTTTATTATCACGAGGTCAGCGGTATCACGTTGCACGTTTTTCAAGATGGCGGACAATTACAGAAACTATTTGTTGATCGAGTGAAATAGAAAGAACCTCTGATATCATCATTACACTTTGACAAGTAAAGTTTTGATAAGAAGCAATGTTCGAATTTTTTAAAACACCCAAAAAAGGCACTAAAAGCAGAAAAATTTTGGCAACTTTTCGGCAACTTTTTGGAAATTCAGCAACTTTTCGGCAACTTTTTGAAAAAATAGCAACTTTTTGGCAACTTTCAGACACTTTTTAAAAATAGCAACTTTTTTGGGATTCATTAGAAGCGGCCTTTCCTTACACTTAGGTAGCACGGAAAGCCGGAACACTCTTGAACAAAAGCTCATCTTTCAAACCGGCAGTCTAAATCCCACAGGTATCAACCAACGCGTTTCATTCCACTAATTTATTCCTGTTTTTCTCGTTGCCATGTTCCCACCAGTCACCTAGCTCCTTTTTCTGCCTTTAGAAGCA